GGTTCAGAAAAATTGTCTAACTTATCCAAGTCATACTGGTGGTAGGTAGTGGAGGCCAGGTTTCGAAGCCAGGTCATCTGATTACATAGTCTGCGCTCTGCACTAACCCAACTGCCCTGCCCAACTGGAGGGTATCTGTATGTTTAACTTAGATACTGGGTTGGCCAAAATGTTCGTTCGGGTTTTTCCATAAAATGTTACAGAAAAACCCAAACGAACTTTTTGGTCAACCCAATAAGTCTTTAACTTAGATGTAAAGTTTGTCAATCACCTGGCATAAACAATCCTATCATCAGAAGTCAAGTCCCCCACTAACCAGCCAGATCACACCTGCTAGAGTAGAACTTGCAGGACCTTTGGAACTAGACAGGCATATGTCTGAATGTCAGTCCTCCCTCCTCTTACTAGTTCTGTCTCCTTGAAAAAGTAATTAACCTTAAAGAAACCCTAGTTTCTTTATTTCTAAAATAATAACAGCAAATACTAACAGAGCACTTATGATGGGCTATTATTCTTAGTTCTTTTTTTTTTTTTTTTTTTTTTTTTTTGCGGTACACGGGCCTCTCACTGTTGTGGCCTCTCCCATTGTGGAACACAGGCTCCGGATGCGCAGGCTCAGCGGCCATGGCTCACGGGCCCAGCCGCTCCGCGGTATGTGGGATCTTCCCAAACCGGGACACGAACCCGTGTCCCCTGCATCGGCAGGCGGACTCTCAACCACTGCACCACCAGGGAAGCCCTATTCTTAGTTCTTAACATTAGCTTACAACAACTGAATGATGTTGGTACCACCATTATACCCACTTTATAGATGGGGAAACTGAGGCATAGAGCACTTAAAGGTCAGTAATTTGAAATCAGTGGCAAAGCTTGGATTTGGACCCAGGCAGTCTAACTCTAAAGTCCATGCTATGGGCCACAATGCTGTACTGTGTTGCCTCCTGAGATGATAGGATTGAGGGTGTAGAAACCTCTGGTCCAGAGCCACACAGTCAATGGGACTATTACAAGGTTTAGAATAAGAAAATTTAACAGCTCTGACCACCCACAAAAAGAGTAGCACCAATTTGTGGGGAGTGTTCTGATTTTGATCTTATACCAAAGTCGTCTTATGTCTTTGCCTTTGAACTTTCAGGACCTGCTGGCTGAAGCTTTCCTAATTGTGGGGGGATTCCTTTAGAGAAGGCATCTGTTGGTACACACCGCTTACCTTCCCTGCACCTGCCAGGATGGAGAGCACCGGCAGGTGGGCGGGGATGAGAAATGGCTATGTAGCCACCAGCACAGGTGTACGCATCCCCCACCTTCCCATGGCCTCCGGCTCAGCAAAGGCTGTGGTGCTGGAGCTGCAGTCTTTCCTGTTGACAGTAATTAGAACCTTTCAGACTTAATTTCTTACATGGAAAAATCCCAATTCACTTGAATTGTCTCCTTGATCCAGTTCACCTGGAGCTATTTAGTTCCTGCAGTTTGTTTGGGGAGGAGAACAAGCTATTAAGCCTTCACACATTACCGTTGATAAGATCAAGGTGCGGAAAATGTTAGTTGGGTAAACTTTGGAGCCAGACTGCCAGAGTTTGAATTCCAGTTCCAGCAGTTAAGCATGATCTGAGTTTTTGTCTGTGAAATGGGAATAACCATAGTGAAGATTAGATAAGATGAGATGGCACAGGTAAAACCCTTGGAAGATCAGCGTCTGGCCCATAGTAAGTGCTCAGTAAATGTTAACTGTTAGTAGTATTATCGTTAATTAAGCCCATCCAGCCCTTAGACCCCAGCCTAGGATCTTGCTCTAGGAAGCCAAGTCCCCTTCCTGTCCCCCAGGCTCTGGACCCTTCTCTCCTCACTTACCAGATGATTTCATCTCTCTATGCCTCCACGCCCTCATCTGTGAAATGTGGCTGGGAATGCCAGAGTCTAGAGTCTACTTTGTGAGGTTGTTGTGAAGGTTAAGTGAGCTAATTCAAAGCCTGAGCACAGAGCTCAGTGACTAGTCAGTCTCACTACTGTTATTCCTGAAGCACCAAGGGCTGCCTGGAAGGCGGATCTTTGAGATCTTGGAGAGCTCTTAGAGCCAAAGGACCCAAAATAGGCAGGAGCATTTAGGGTTAACCGATGATGCCTGAGTGTGAGCCTCTGGAGCTGGGGAGACCGCTGGCTTGTTGGGAACGGAGGAGGCATTAAATGAATGCAGACTGCAGAAGAGTATTCAAAACCAGGTTCGGCTCAAGCAATCTGACTGAATTTTCAAGGCAGAAAAACTTTAAAGGGGTTTAAGCATTTACACTCAGCAAGAAGCACCTTCCTCCTCTCCTGCCTTTGCCCCCAGGATTTAAAAACAAAACCAAATAGCTCCTGTTGTTTGGTGTTACTATGTTCTAGACATTCTGCTGAGTACTTTATTGACATCATCTTTTTTGATCTTGACTTCAACCCTGAAAGGTGGGTGTCATCATTCCCATTTTACGGATGAAAAACTGAGATTTAGAGAGATTGAGCAGTTTGCCCAAGGTTGCATACCTGGGAAATTGCAGAGCCAAGATTTGCACCCAAGCCAGGGGGACAGGAGGAGGACAGCTCCCATTTGTTCATCAGTGTTCTGATTTTGGAACAACACTTAGTGCTCACCATTCTCCCAAATACCCACTGTACAACCCAGGAGTGTCTCCAAGTGGCAGATGCCTCTCCCTTGAAATTATCTGGCCTTGATATTATCCTACTTCTACTTTAATAGAACTGCTGTCTTCCACAATTAAACTGGCCAAAGTTGTTTATCTGCCTGCACTTCCCGTTCATCTCTTTACCTGACTATCTTCCTCACTTTACATTGGGGATAGTCAAGTTCCAGAAGTGGTGAACAGGATGTATTCTGTTTTTCTGATGTATTTAGTATTTCCAAGAACTGTTGTTGCATTGGAGAAGTACAAAATTATTTTTGTAAATCATTCTTCTATGCTTAGGAAGCAAGTATTTGAAGCACATGAGTTAGAATATCATCAAGAACCTAAAAGAGAGCTGAGGGTCTGGAAACCAGGAGGCTGAGATCGATTTCCAGCACTGTCTTTCTTGATTGAATAAGGGGGTCATACAACTCTCTCGGCTTCTCATTTTCCTTTACCTTGTTTGTCTTCCCGAGGATATCTTGTAGATAATTTGGGGGATAAATATGAATAACTGTGAAATACTTTGACCCCCCTAAGAATGGTATCAGATCCATCCACCAAATCTTAGCCTAGAAAAGCATTAATGGGGACTCCCTTGTGGTGCAGTAGGTAAGACTCCAAGCTTCCAATGCAGGGGGCCTGGGTTCAATCCGTGGTCAGGGAACTAAGATCCCGCATGCATGCCACAACTAAGAAGCCCTCATGACGCAACTAAAGATCCCACGTGCTGCAACTAAAGATCCCACATGCCACAATGAAGATCCCGTGTGCTGCAGCTAAGACTGGGTGCAGCCAAAATAAATAGATTAATTAATTAATTAATTTTAAGAAAGAAAGGAAAAAAAGCATTAATGATTCAAAGATAGAACTTTATTTAGTTCCTGCCAGAACTCACTTCTCTCTATACAGGGGGTTTTGAAGTGAGAATAAAGTGGGAACATATTAGATTCAGTGGCTTTTCTCCCTTTCGTCTTTCCTGTCCCTCACCCCAAGTCTGCGAGCCCACAAGTGGCTATTACTCCTTCCCTTGAAGAACAAAACCTCCTACTAGGCTGTGCCCTAGGTCAGGCGAGTGAGGAGAGGAAAGTGCACACCCCACTGTGGCTAAGACAAAGGCCGCAAAAGCCATCTTGATCCTTTGACCTACATTGACGCTGAGTCTGTCGCTTTGTTGTCCCTGACTTTGGCAGTGTGGTTAGTCTAACTCTATGCCCCCACCTTGAATTGAGCCTTGATGAAAAAGTAGTAGGAACCCAGGCCTGTCCCTGGGGATTTGGGGTTTTTATCTTGGAAACGCATCAACCAAACTATCAGGGACAGGAGATCTGGATTCCTGTGGCTTGAGCTAACTTAGGTCCAAAGAAACCCAGTGCCTGTGATCATCATCTTCATCCCCCAAGTGCGGCCATGCCCTCTGGATTCCCTCCTCTCACTCGTGCTCCCAGCTAGGAGGGCTTCTGGGTTGCTTGATCTTGCTTAACCATCAGCATGTCGTTCCATATTTGAAATGCTTTGGAATACTCGTGGATGGCAGCTGCCTGACTGATCTAAAATCTCTTGGCTTTGGGACATGCAGTAACAAAACAACTTTTAAACACCAGTGTATTTCCTCTCCCTTGGCATTCTATAAACCCCCCTGAGATTTACCTCTCTGGGTTTTCTACTGGGTCACAGAGCCTCATCCTGCCTCATCTCTCCCAAAACACTGCTTCTGTATATCAGGAGTCACTTGGTTGCCTAGATTGTATATCTTGGACCTTGGTCTTGGCTTCCTAGAATAGGATGACCAGATTTGTGTGCAGCCATCCAAAAGGAGCCAGCCTGCACAGTACTGGATGACAGAGTAAGAAGGTCTGTGGGTTGCTATGCTGTATTCTTCTCCTCCATACGTTGCAAGACTGCATTTGTCTTAATACTGCTTGCAGATGTTCTGTGGATGGTCTTTGGGCATGTTGTGGTGAATGTTACCATGCCAGAGAATTTCAGCAAATTTAGCCAGCTCTGAAATGACTCATTCTTGTGGATTTGCATACATAAGAAGGCTAATGAAGGTACCCCTCTAATTCCCCCTTCTTACCCGACCATCTTTCAAACCAGTGAAGCTCCTTTGGCCAAAATGTTGTAGCTGGGTGCCTCCCATCCAGGAAAAACTTTGTAGAAATATTGATCTTAAAATCTCACCCTTGGAGGGTTAGTGGCTAATGCAGCCTTAACACTGACTCACCTTTAAAAGAGCAGATCTACGGAGAGTAGGTCTGAAAACCATGAAATGATCAAAAAGACAGCAGTGACTTCACATGCAGAGACCTAATGTGTTCCTATCCATTTCCATTCCAGATTTGCTGACCATGAGGGAATATCACTGCTTGCTGCAATTACTGTGCCCGGATTTCCCGCTGGAGCTCACTCAGAAAGCAGCCAGGTATGTCTCCTGGGCTTTTGAAGTCAACTCAGCCCCCTCTTTGGCCCAGGCTTCTGAGAGAAACCTGAACTGTATACAAACAAACATACCATTAGGGGAGAATGAAACTGATAGGGAAAAAACTGGCATTTGGAGAGGGGTCTATTTGGGATTTGCCCAAAAACATAATACTTTCTGCATTTCCAAATGGAAACCAAATGATCTTTGGTGGTTTCTGCGGGGAGTTTTATGGTCTGCAGATAGAGTTGGGAGGTGGTGAGACGAAGAGGCAAACACACACACACACACACACACACACACACAGGCACATACACAAAGAAATATCCCTAGAGGAAATTCTGAGAAAATATGGGGCAAGTTTGACAGCGACTTGTAATAAAGGGGGTTGAAGTTCGAGACTGGAAAACATGAAGGTGATAAAGCCCAATTGAGGGAGGGATAAATTGTATTACTTATGCTAAAAGAAGGTTTTCAAGATTAGTCCAGAACCAGGAAGACTTGGTAGAAATAGTTAGAACCCTCTAATTTCTGTGTTTGGTTTCACTGTCATTCACATTTTTTAACCAGATGAGGTCGTTGGGCTACGCCTCAGTTAACTTTTACTTATTTAACTGAAAACCTGAGCTAAGGCAGCAAGTGGAAGTATAGCAAAAATCTTGTTTTCTGAAAAATGCCAGAGCAGAGGATTTTTAGGAAAATACTCTGTATTATATCATATATGACAGATACGTGTCATTAGACATTTGTCCAGATCCATAGAATGTACAACACCAAGAGTGAACCGTAAATCTAAACTGTGGACTTTGGGTGATGATGTCTCAATGTAGGTTCAACGATTGTAACAAAGGTACCATTGGTGGGGGATGTTGATCTGGGGGAGGCTGAGCACGTGTGGAGGCAGGAGGTATATGGGAAATCCCTGCACCTTCCCCTCAATTTCACTGTGAACCTAAAACTGCTCTAAAAAAGTAAAATCTAAATAATAATTTTTTTAAATGCCCAGCTTCCCTAAATCAATTAGTCAAGTATATTTACAGAGTAGAGTTGACTAGTGAACAGGGAGGGGCTTAGGGGCACCGACCCTCTGTGCAGTGGAAAATCCAAGTATAACTTACAGTCAGCTCTCCATATACACAGTACCTCCATATACATGGCTCTGCATCCGTGGGTTTAGCACCTGCAGGTTGAACCAACCGCAGATTGCGTATTTGCTGTTGAAAAAAAATCCACATATAAGTGGACCTGTGTAGTTGAAACCCAGGTTGTTCAAGTGTCAACTGTATATTCACATCCATCACCACAGTCAATTTTAGAGCATTTTAACTACCCCACCAAGAAATCCAGCACCTCTTAGCCATTACTCCCCAATCCCCCCATCCTCCCTAGCTCTAGACAACCACACTCTGTCTCTATATATTTGCCTATTCTAGACATTTAAAATAAATGGGATCGGGCTTCCCTGGTGGTGCAGTGGTTGAGGGTCCGCCTGCCAATGTAGGGGACGCGGGTTCGTGCCCCGGTCCGGGAAGATCCCACGTGTCGCGGAGCGGCTGGGCCCGTGAGCCATGGCCGCTGAGCCTGCGCGTCCGGAGCCTGTGCTCCGTAACAGGAGAGGCCACAACAGTGAGAGGCCCCCGTACCGCAAAACAAACAAACACAAAAAAAAATAAAATAAAATAAATAAATGGGATCATATGATATATGGTGGTCCTTTGTGACTGGTTTCTTTCACTTAGCCTTGTTTTCAAGGTCCATCCACATTGTAGCAGGTCTCAGTACTTCCTTTCATCAAATATTTCTTGAGTGCCAATTTTGTGCCAGGATCTATTCTGCATATTAGGGGTACAGTGATGAATAACATATAGTTCCTGCCCCTCAAGGAGCTTGCCATTTGATTTAGAAGTGGATCCCTTGGGTACTGATCACGGCCTGCCACCACTGTGTGTCACATCACCTTGGTTTCTGTCACTGCACAGCAGCCTCCGTCCTCCTGTCCCACTCCTGAAAGGTAGCGGGCGAGTGTGAGGGTGAGCCTTCTGTATGATTTTCAACCCCACCAGCCCCGTTTTTGCATTTGCCCCACCCATCTCCCAGACCCTTCCAAACAATCTGATGTGTGTAAGCATGGCAAGATTAGACTAGAAGGAATAGAACCCTCTAAGATCCACAGATTCGTACAATTATTGATACCAAGGGGCTTCTGGAGTGGCATTCCCCTAGCTGTGTCAGAAGCTTACCTCCTCTGCAAGAGGCCTACTGTTCAATAGAAACTTCAGACCTTTCCATTTGAGGAAGAGGAAGCAAGGTAACCAGTCCATGTCAATAGCAGGGAATGTGAGGGGATGATGGGGATGCCAGTATCAACAACAGAAGGGCCCCAGGTGAGCCTCAGGATACTGGCTACAAAATTAGAGATGAACTCGGGACTCAGGTTTTTGTGTCAACCCTGCCTCCCCAGTGCCCTGCTTTCCTCACTCCACTCCAGCTGGTGTGTGTGTGGAAAAATTGCATACATCCCAGAAAGTGCCCTCTGATTGTTTAAGCTATTATCATCTTGTCCTGAAGGTCAGGATCCCAACTTCCTCACACACAAACCCACGCTTCTGACCAGAACTGCAAATGGGGGTGGTTAGGCCTCCAAGGCAGTTACTCTAGCTGGAAGAGGCACTGCCCTCTCCTGTCTCACTGCTGGTCTCACTGTATTCATGGCCCTGAGGTCTGGGGACAGGCCGCAGGAGGAGGCTCCAGTCTCTGATGCTGTGCGCGTAAAAGAATGTAATCCACAGGCAGCTGTACGCCAGAGCCTGTTCAGCGGCAGAGCAGCTCCACATGCGCCTGACTTACGTGCGGCCAGCACCGTGGCCAGGCCCCGGAGCGGCAGGTGTGAGCCGGAAACAGGAGAGCAAAGAACAAATAGACTCCATGACAGCGCCCAGCCAGAGATCCCCTCCACCGCACACACTCCTGCAGCAGTGGGAGTCGTTAAGTAATTTTATCCCTAAGTGGTCACCATAGCTTCTCTGTCTCCAAGGACTGGGAGGCTTTTCTGACGGTTAAGAACATTCAACTAGAGCCGGAATTCTTGAGTTCAAACCCTGGTTCCACAATTTACCAGCTTGTGCCCTTGGGAAAGTTATTTAATTCCTTTGAGCCTCAGTTTCCTCATTTGTAAAGTGGGAATAATCGAAGAAGCATATAATGTGCTTAAAATAATGCCTGGCACAGAGCAATGTTAGAAGCAGTGGTATTAACCTTGACCTTTAAGAGCACAGGCATCATAGGGTTAGAAAGACCTGGGTGTACACACCACCTGTGCTCTATTAACTGGATGACCTTGAGGATCTCTCTTAACTTCTACAAGCCCTGTTCCCCTATCTGTAAAATGGGGCTAATAATAATAACTAACTCAGGGCGGTTGTAAGATTTCAACAAAAAATTATATGTAAATTGCTTAGCACATTATATAATCCAATAAATAATAATTTCTGCTGTTAAAATAATGTTAGTATTATTGTTATTACCAGATTTTTTTAAATAAGTGAGAAGTCAGAGAGAGCAGATTTGTGGTTGCCAAGAGGGAGCGGGGGAGGGAGAGGGATGGACTGGGAGACTGGGGTTAGTAGATGCAAACTATCACATTTATTTATTTGTTTGGTTTTATTTATTTATTTATTTATTTATTTTGGCTGCATTGGGTCTTCATTGGCTTTGGGCTTTCTGCATTGGGCTTTCCCTAGTTGCGGCGAGCCAGGGCTACTCTTTTTTTTTTTTTTTTTTTGCGGTACGCGGACCTCTCACTGTTGTGGCCTCTCCCGTTGTGGAGCACAGGCTCCGGACGCGCAGGCTCAGCGGCCATGGCTCACGGGCCCAGCCGCTCCGCGGCATGTGGGATCTTCCCAGACCGGGGCACGAACCCGTGTCCCCTGCATCGGCAGGCGGACTCTCAACCATTCCACCACCAGGGAAGCCCCGGGGCTACTCTTCATTGTGGTGCGTGGGCTTCTCATTCCGGTGGCTTCTCTTGTTGCGGAACACAGGCTCTAGGCGCACAGGCTTCAGTAGTTGCAGCACACGGGCTCAGTAGTTGTGGCACGTGGGCCCTAGAGTGCACAGCCTTCAGTAGTTGCGGCATGTGGGCTCAGTAGTTGTGGCACACGAGCTTGGTTGCTCTGTGGCATGTGGGATCTTCCCGGACCAGGGATCGAACCCATGTCCCCTGCATTGGCAGGCAGATTCTTAAACACTGACCCACCAGGGAAGTCCCAAACTATTACATTTAGAATAGATAAGTAACGAGGTCCTACTGTATAGTGCAGGGAACTATATCCAACCTCCTGGGATAAACCATAGTGGAAAAAAATATTAAAAAAGAATGTATATATGTGTATAACAGTCACTTTGCTGTACAGCAGAAATTAGCACAACACTGTAAATGAACTATACTTCAATTAAAAAATTAAATAAGTGAGAAGTTCCTGGGTTCCCTAAGGCAGTGGTTTCTGGCCTTTTTTCCCTTCACAAAGTTCAGAAAATAATATATAACAAAAAGTAGGGTAAAGACAGGACTGCCTGTGTCTCCTCCCTCCTGGGCCGGGGGGACCATCACACCTGTAATCCATTCAAGGCCCAAATGACACAGGGGTGGGAAGCTTCCCTCCAAGGGTGAAGATTTAAAGCAGTGGTTCTCCAACTTGAGTGTGAATCAGAATCACCTGCAGGACTTACTAAACCGCGATGGCCCAGCCCCATGCTCAGAGTTCAGTGGGTCTGAGGTGGGGCTCAAGGATCCATATTCCTTACAGGTTCTTAGGTGATGCTCATGGTCTGGGACCACACTTTGAGAACCACTTTAGAGCATTGCATGCCAACCTCTTTCTGGCATTTTAGAATTGATTGCATTAAAAGGAATTGCTTTTCCTTCTCACTCTTGTCCTCTGAAACACTAACTCACTTCTCCCTCACTTAAAGCCAGATTTCCTAGTGAGTAATATATGTTTAAC